GAAATGTTAGTAATATTTATGGATGATATATGTATTTCTGTGATATTAGTTGTAATTTTTTCTCTTTCATTTATGATTGAGATTATTTGAGTCCTTTCTCTTCTATTTCTGATTTATCTGGCTAGTGTTCTATCTATTTTGTTAATATTTTCAAAGAACCAACTTTGTGTTTCACTGATCCTTTGTATCTTTTTTTTTTCTTTTGGTTTCTATTTCTCTGAATTCTACTCTTGAGTTTTGTTGTTTGTTCTTCTGACTCTAGATTTGATTTTGTATTCTTTTTTTCTAGTTCCTTAAGATGTGACCTGAGGTTAGCAATGTGTGATCTCTCTTTTTCATGTATGTATTTAAAGCTATACATTTTCCTTTTAGAGTCCCATAGTTGTTTTTTTTTTTGTTTTTTTGTTTTTTGAGACAAAGTTTTACTTTGTCACCCTCAGTAGAGTGCTGTGGCATCATAGCTCACAGCAACCTTAAACTCTTAGGCTCAAGCAATTCTCTTGCCTCAGCCTCCCAAGTAGCTGCGACTACAGGCGCTGCCACAAGGTCCTGGCTCAGGCTGGTCTCGAACCTGTAAGCTCAGGCAATCTACCTGCCTGGGCCTCTCAGAGTGCCAGGATTACAGGTGTGAGCCACCATGCCTGGCCAATTAGCCCATAGATATTTGGAAGCTTGTATCCCCTTTATCATTCAGTTCAAAGAGTCTTTTGATTTCTGTCTTAAATTCATCATTGACCCAAGGATTGTTCAGCCGCAGGTGGTTTAATTTCCATGACTTGATGTGGATTTGAGAGTTTCTCTTGGAATTGATTTCTAGTTTTACTCCACTGTGGTTGAGAAGATACATGGTATGATTTTGATTTTTCTCAGTTGGCTGAGAGTTGCTTTGTGGTCTGAGATATGATCGGTCTTGGACAATATCCCATGTGCTGATGAGAAGAATGTACATTCTGTAGTTTTTGGATAGGACATTGTTTAACTGTCTGTTACGTCCATTTGATGTAGAGTTCCATTTAAATCCAATATTTCTTTGTTCATTTTATCATCAATGACCTATCCAGTTTTGTTAGTGGAATGTGGATGTCTTGGGTGATTATGACACTACTGTCTATTTCTTTGTTTAGTTCTAGTAGAATCTGATTCATGAATCTGGGTACTACATAACAGTATTTAGGATTGTTATGTCTTCTTGCTGAATTTTCTCCTTTATCATTATATGTATAATGACCATCTTTGTCTTTTTTGGGGGGCGGGGCATTATTGACTTAAAGTTCCTTTAATCTGATGTGAGAATGGCTATACCTGATTGCTTTTGTTTTCTATTTGTGTGGGTTTTTTTTTCTTTTTTTTTTTTTTTGATTCCTTTACCTTAAGTCTGTGTAAATCTTTCTGACTTTGATGGGCTTTTGGATACAACATATCTTGGGATATGATTTTTTCATCTATTCAGCCAGTTTATGTCTTTTAATGGTGTATTAAGACCAGTCACTTTCAGTGTTGGTATTGATATGAGGGGTACTTTTTTATTCATCAACATTGAACGATACCTTGTTGTTTTGTTTTCCTTCTAGTGTTACTGTTTTACAAGACCTAGGAGATTTAATTTTGGAATGTAATTTTAACATTCCAAAATTAAATGTGGGTATCTATGGTGGGTATCTATTGTGGTGGTCTGTGTATAGTGCACTATTGAGCATTTCTTGTAGAGCAAGTCTAGTTGTGATGGATTCTGTAAGTGTTTACTTGCTTAGAAGAGTCTCTATTTCTCCATCCATTTATGAAACTTAGTTTTGCAGGATACAAAACTCTAGGCTGGCATTTGTTCTGTCTAAGAACAGTAAAAATGGGGCTTCTATCCCTTCTGGCTTGTTAAGTCTCTGATAAGAATTTTGCTGTTAGTCTAATGGATTTTACTTTATAAGGTAGTTGTTATCTTCATTTTGCAGGTTACAAAATTTTCTCCCTCTTTTGGACTTTGCCCGGTTGAGGACTCTATGCCTTGGTAATATCCTGTTTACTATGAATCTTCCTGGTGTTTGATGACCTTTTTATATCTGGATATCTGAATCTCTGTTGTTACCAGGGAAGTTTTTCTCAACAATTCCCTCAAATAGGGTTTTTGTGCTTTTTGCTTTTTCTTTTTCTCCCTTAAGGAATACCTATACTTGTATATTGATTTGCTCTACATAGTCCCGTATTTCTCTGAGTAATTGTTCACTCTTCTTTTTTCTGCATATTGACCATCTGGGTTAGTTCTAAAGTTATCTTTAAGCTCTGAAATTCTTTCTTCTGCTTGCTCTAGTCTGTTGTTGATGCTTTCTGCTGTATTTTGAAGTTCTCTAAGTGACTCATTTCTTTACAATCTGTTATCTCCTTTCTTACGTTGTCTGTCTCTTTCCTGACTTTTTCATATTTTTCGTGCATGTCCTGGTATATATTTTTAGCTTCTTTGTATTGGCTTTTAACTTTCTTTTCAATTCCATTCATCTCATTTGCCATCTATATTCAGAATTCTATTTATGAGATTTCAACAGTTTCTTTTTAGTTGGGGGTCTATTGCCATAGGTCTGTTGTGATCTTTTGTGGGTGCCACATTAGCTTTTCAAGTTCTCAGATTCCTTTTGCTGGTTTCTTTTCATTCGTAAACCTCTTCTCTCAGTTCAAGTTGGATAGGTTGGAAGTGTTGCTGTCTCCTTAGCTGGGAACTGTCCTGTGGAGTGAGAAAGAGATGCCCCCTTGGTGATGCTTCTATGTAATATTCTAGAAGATGAGCTGGAAGGAGATGGGGAGATGCACCCCAGTCTTGCTTGTAGCTGTTCCCCCTTGTCTTGTTTCCCTGTGGTTGTCACAGTACAAGCCGGTGCTGGGACATCTTGTAGAATGCTTGAGCCCTGTGCAGCTGTTGGGAGCTTGGGCAGAGGTCAGATTGAGTCCCTGTCCGTGATGGCTGGTGCTGTGGGAAATTACTCTACCTCACTCTCCCTGCTCAGGTGGCACTAGCTGCTTTCTGGGGCTATCTAGGTGGTGGCAGCAGGAGTTAGGACAGCAGGTGTGTTCTCTACCCCAGTCTCAAGGTAATGGCAGTACCCTATGGGAGTAGCTTTTGGCTAGTGGGTCTGTGGTGCAAAACCAAAGGACATGGCCCACCGCTGGTGTGTGGGGTCAGGGACCTCTATGCAGTGCATGGACCCCTGGTGTTGTGGGGATGTGGCCTGCCTACTGACACATAATTAGCAAAAGGCCTTAACTGCCCTGGCATGCGTATCTGCAGAGGCATGGCTGACTGTGTGGTGTGCAGGACCAGGAGGCATTTCCTGCTGGTGGATTCACAGAGCCAGAGAGTGTGGCTTGCCAAATAGCTTAGGATCAATGGGGGTGTGTTCTGCTGGTGGACACCCACCTCTGAAGAGCACAGCCCCAGCTCCTTGTTGAATATGGGTCCACTGTGGAGTGGACTTCAGTGCCCTAGTGCAAAGGGTTAGGGGATTGTTCTACTGGTCAGTGGGCATGGCTTCATTGGTTGGGCTCATGGATGGCTGGGGCTTTCCCCTCACACACATATTGCTGGAACTAGGACTGAGGGACCTCTGGATTGGTGTTGGCACCTCTCTGTTTAAATTCCCTCATGGGAAGGCTGTTAGTCATGGGTGTCAGTCTGCTCTTCCTGCTCCCCCCATAGCATGGAAAGGGGCTGAGTGGGGGCAGTTGCAGTGAGGCTCATCCCCGTGTAGACTGGGAGCTCTGGACCTGACAGTTAGTTCAGAGTGGTGTCCATTGCAGCAGCCTGGGAGGAGAGGTCAGCAGGTCTCTGCTGGTGCTGCTCTCAGGTGCAGCTGTGCTCTGCTGTCTCCAAACAGATCCATGACTAGATGGAGGCTGAGTGAGGGGTTTCTGTAGTTCAAGTGGCGTGTTTCCACAAGGGTTCTCTCCTTTATCCCTTCCCCAGGTAGGCCTCTCTCCCAAGTACCTTCCACTCTTGGCAAGTCTGTCCCCCCACCCCTAGCTCCTTCACACAGAGTGTCTCTCCTTCCTCTCTGATGAGTCACAGTGTTCCGTCCAAGGGGTCCATCCAAAGCTGGGCGTCCACTCACACCTTTTATCCTCCCTTTAAGAGTGATACGTGGAAGCTGCTTTTATGCCACTATCTTGGCCGATTTTTATTTTTCTTCAGGAAATCAATTTTTAAAAAACTATATTAATTTGATTATTTCAGCAAGTAAATTGTTTAAAATATATTTTTTTTCTAAGCAGAAAGTTAGGAAGACTAGTGATTCATGTTTTTTTGTTATCAGAATAGAAACATTTACTATGATCTAGTAAGAAACTTCACAGGGAATGCTATCACTCACTAAATCATACCTTTCTAAAACTATTGCTCTTGAATTTTTGAGTTTTCTGTTTGCCCCTTTAGGACCGTTCTGCTCTGTAATTAGTGAGGGTGCTGTTTGTCTTTAGGCAACAGCCTCATCTCTATGGACATATGTGCAAAGGCAATATAATTACGATGTAGTATTTTAATTATTTCAAATCATCTTATTTGTTCATTCCTTAAAGGATGCCATGGGTGAATCCATGGGCATTGTGTTTATGTTGTTGCCATGAGATTAACATGAACACATTTACGTAAGCTTGATAAATGTTTCTGTTTCTTTGATCTTTGTAGCATTATAGACTTTTTCCCCTGTTTTTCAAACATCATGTTATGCCTGAGGAAATATATATTGTAAAGAATCGATTATTTATATTTTGCTTAATTTGAAGAACACAGATTGGTGTATGGTTCTTTCTGTCTGGGTTGATCTAATAGTTTAGAAATTCTCAGATGTACTTCTTAATGAATTTGGGATTTACATGCTAATATCACACATTTAGAAAAATAATAATATAGGAAATTTAATGATGGTCACCCATTTTCTCTAAATACAAGTAGCTGACAGACTGTATGTAGAAACTGGCATTTATCTGGGTTCAGATTTTAACCTTCTCTTCCTGTTTTCCAGTTGTTTTTATTTCAGTTGCTGCGAGGGCTGTCTTACATCCACCAGCGTTATATTTTGCACAGAGACTTGAAACCACAGAACCTTCTGATCAGTGACACGGGGGAGTTAAAGCTGGCGGATTTCGGTAAGAAAGCAGTTAATTACCAGTCTCTTTTGTCACACTGTGAGAATGCCAGGCAGATGGTGGCACTGCATTTGTTGAGGTGTACTTCTTCTGTCATCACAGATCGTGGTAAAATTTCTTTTTGGAATGAAGCAATTTTTTTCATCTTTATGATAACATAAAACACAATGCTTGGTAGATTTTTATGAAATTCAACTGCTTGTTAGGGTCTTAAATCATCATGAACATAAATGAAATCTCATTAATATATATTTACAAAGGAAAGTCATAAAAGTTTGAGCATAAAATATATTGAAGGCAATCCGTTGAATTATTTTTGTTATGTAAATATACTGAAAAGTAGAAAAATACTATAAGAACCCCCATGACTCATCTCCCAGCTTCATCAGTGACCAATATTTTGCTAAATCTAAAGAAAACTAAATTGAAGCCTCTAGATCTTTCCAGGGCATTGCAGAATATATTCAATAGTGTGTCTGTTGCCCTAAGGCTTTAATAACTTAGAAATCTAGGGGCAGTATTAACCTTTCTGGAACTGACTAATGTTTCAAGGATTTTCAATAAGGTTAGAGAGGTAGACACTTATTCCTATTTAAAAGTTGGGATCCTGGAGTGGGCCATTGTATGCCATTATTTCTTTAGAAGTTTTAAGACTAGCCTCTTCCAGCTTAGAAGCTTTTCTTTAAACACTGTCTTGAGCATTCAAAGAGGAGAAATGCTGTTGTGTCGTCCTTGCTAGCGTCCCTTCCCTCGTCAAGCCTGACACTTCTGCATCGCCCGGACTCTTTATCACACAAGAGATTGTGTCGAGTTGATTCCCAGCTCCAGGGGAAGCCTGATGGCAGCATGATGTGTTGACATTGCATTTCCTCAATTATTTTTGAATACATATTCTGATTAGAAATTTGTTCCATTAGGAATGGATTGAAAATATTACCCCTGGGACATAGAGATGCCTAAATTTGAAATATGGGCTTTTGCTGAAATATGATTGTCTTTTCCCACTCCAGGCCCCCAGTAAATAAGAGAGGGCAGGACGTGTTTATTTCTTACTTGAAGGTTACTAGACTGTTGAATACCTTTAGAATGAATTGACTCTGTTGGCTTTTGTATGATCTTTTCTTCTAAAAACATGAAATAAGACAAAAGTTAAAGACTAGTGATACATTGCAAAACTTTGTCATTTGTCCTCATCTGCTATGATAAAAATGATGAAATTGTATGTGTGAGTATATTTCTGTGTGTGTTTTTAATGCCAGATTTTAGCATTGGAATTGCACTAGGTGACTAAATATAAATTATTTCTATTGTAGGGTTGACTATAAGGGAGACTGTGTAGAGGAGAAAAGGTTTGCAGTCTCTCAAGTTTAAGATTATGTACTTTATTGCGAACATATTTTGTAGTTTGTCAGTATCGATATATTCAAAGGGATGTATAGTGATTTTCTTATGGTATATTAATATGTTACATGATGTATGTTGAAATAAATTGCCATATTTATTATTTAATTGTAATGAACACGAGCTTTATGAGTATTTACAAAACATATTTTTATAAAGCTTATTTGTCTGTATAAATAAGTATACCGAATTCTATGTATCTGCTTAGTACAGTTATGTTTTAATTTTATGATGATGTTTTTATTATAATAGGTAGATCATCTTATAAGATATGTATGGATATTTGAAACTAACATTTATAATATCATATTCAGAAGGAATATAATTTTAAAATACTTGGGTGATTTTTTTTTAGAAAATTAGAAAATATAGAAAGTATAAACAACTCATATATGACAACTGTTAAGATTTTTCTTGTATATTTTCCTAGCTTTCTTATCTTCCTTGCACTAATTTCTTGCTTTGACTGCATATTACATAGACTCAAAAACAAGAACAATACTATATGTTAGAAGCATTTTTTACATAGGAATATGTCATGAACATTGGTAACACAACATTTTTAACAGCCTAGGTTTTTCTGTTAATGGCCAAAACCTAGTCTTTATTCAGTCTCTTTATCAATGAGCATCTTAGTTCTGATTGTTCACTGTTATGTGCAGTTCTGTACAGAACATCTTTGTAGAGAAAGCTACATATGCTGCAGTTGCGATTTTGAGTGTTTTAAAGCATTTGATTTTTCTGCCCAGACTCCCTGCAGAAAGGTCATGCTCACACACCTCCTCTCTGTGTCAGGGATAGAATCGTGGAGCTTGGACTGTTCACTTGGCATGTGTCCTGTGCACAGAGTATAACGAGCAATGCTCATTCACCAACTGGCAGTTTTCACCAATTAATTGTGCATCATTTTTGTCTTTTAATTTAAAACATGCAATTAACTGTGATTTACTGTGTTTAGGTGTGTGTGTGTGTGTATCTCTGAAGAGGGAAACTGGAAATGAAACTGCTGAGAGGCCAGACAGTTGAAATGGGATGATTCCAGGCAGCAGAACAATTAAAAACACAAGGTCTTAATTCAGCATTTGACATATGAACAGCTGTAGGGGCAAGTTTTTTTTTTTACCTTTTTCTCATATGTGAGCAAACCAAACCACAAAATTCTGGTTAATCTTTATGATTCTAGTTTGCATATTTTAAATGCTACTGTTTTTATTAGAAAAATATATGGTTTGGAGAAACCCTGAAATTTCTTGAGTTTATTTAAACTATGTGCTAGACATTTAATAATTCTTGCTATATTGTCTCTCCAACCTAATAATTTATACTAACCTGTATTTTTGAGAGAGAAGGGATTCAGAGAGAGTTATAGACTTGGCCAGGTTGGGGCACACAGGAAGTTACCTGGTTGCAAAGCTGAAAAGTCAGAAGGTTGAGTCATATCCTTTAATCTCAGGCACCCCAAGGCCTTTATATTTATACATTTTGATATTTTATCTTGTAAGGCTTCCTAATCTTCTAGTAAATTTTCAGATTTTATGTTTGTGCTATTTTCTGCATATAATGAATATGACACTATTTTATGTAAACAGATTGCACTAATAGAAAAATATGCTTATAACAATGTAATTTAAGGAATAATTTGTCTTTGGACTAACCTTAAGTAATGCATGAGTTCAACCTTACTATAATACTTCTTAGATTTTTAACTACTACACAAGGTAAACTAGGTCATAGTGTATTTACACACTCATTCAGCTTTGTTTATCATATTTTATTTTATTTTTGAGATGGAGCCTCTCTAATACCCTGGGTAGAGTACTGTAGCATCATCAGTGTTCACAGCAAGCTCAAAATCTTGGGCTTGAGCAATCCTCTTGTTTCACCTCCCCAGTAGCTAGGACTGCAGGTGTGAGTCACCAGGCTAGTTTTTCTATTTTTAGTAGAGATGGGATCTCTACTCTTGCTCAGGTTGGTCTTGAATTCCTGAGCTCAAGCAATCTACCTACTTGGCCTCTCAGTGTTCTAGGCTTATAGGCATGAGCTCCTGGCCCCATTTAGCTTTAAACAAAACACAGTTCTGAATTCCAGGTGGGCAAAATTCTCTAACTATTTTTTTTCCTTGTAAGCAAAGTTGTATTTAAGCATTTATCTGGGCTTCATTTTCTATATGAATTTTGAACAAGTAAATTACACATGATTTAGAATCACTTTGACTTTCCTAATGCAGATACTTGCTCTGCTTGGACATAGTAAAATAATAAAACTATTGGGGGATACATTCAACTCATTCCCTAAAGGATGGTTCAGCTTTATGTTATCTATAGGAAAAATATTTCCAGTCTTTCATGCAAACTGTTTGTGCAACTTGGTTGCTCTTTGTATAGAAGAGCAGCCAAACCCTAAATTTGTCCACACTTTCCCCTGCACAGATACTCATCCTCCTGCTTCTCACGTGGCTACTTTTTCTCATCCTAAAAGGTCATAGTTCAGGTCTCCTGTTCAAAGAGGTCACCTTTCCAAAAATCGAACCTTTCCCATTATTATCACCTAGTCTTACTTCTTCAGTAACACTTCCAGTGCACTGAAATCATTTTGTTTATTTATCTATTTATATTTTGCTTGAGCTACTTAATTATAAGTGCCAGGAGGTTAGCAACTTGACCTGTGTTGCTCACTGTTGTCTGCCTATATCTAGAACCACACTTAGTACGTAATAGATGTTGAGTACGTATTGATAGAAAGAATACAAATACATTTGGCTAAGTATTCGTGTAAAGACTGAGACCCACCTGCATTTAGTAATTTCTTTTTGATTAGCTTTGGCAAACTAGCCATTTATAAAATAATTTTCTCTCCAATACTGTCCTGGCTGTGCACAGTCAAGAGTGCTAATGGAATTAGATAAATTTAGATGGTGTTGGAGCTTCAGGATTGAGCCTCTTATACATGGGTGCTACAAACCTACTTAGTATTCACTATGTTTGTAATCTCAGGCTGCAGAAGTAAATATCACTGAGTCTACTCTGAAGACCCTAAATTGTTGTTTAGATGTATAGATGGCGAGAGCAGGGTGTATTGAACACTGAATTAGGAGACGTGGCTCTATGTATAACTAGCCTGTGACTTTTAAGAAGTTGTTTAGCTCTTCTTAGCCGTATACACCTTGTCTGAAAAAGCAGAGCATTAATCCGAAATAAAATTTAAAAACAAAATTAAAAAATCCTCGAGCATTGAAGAGACAGTTTCTAAGATTCTGTTAATGTTGTCTTTTTATGTTGTACATTTCTGAAACTATTTATAATTTCTAATGACTAGATATTTAAATGGTGGGTAAAGATCTGTCCATTAAGTCTAGGTCAATGCTATACTATCTTCCCAAGAATGTAATTTTTATTCTATCTTTGGAAATACAAATAGATGAGAGCCAGGCTTTTATGATATGCATTGAAAGGATATTAAAGAAAATTATTGAAGCATGACAAGTAAATGCATAAATAAATTCACCGAGAAATTAAAGTTCATTTGCAGTATAATAGTATGAAAAAACGTAAAGGTGTTTTTCCATATAAATGGGATCAAAGCAAAATGTACGAGTCTGT